TTGTCTTGTGAGCTGTCCTTTGCATTATAGGGTGTTTAGCAACATCTCTGTCTTTGTTAGAATAAGGGAAGATGGGAATATCACCTTCCTCCCAGTTGTAACCACTAAATGTGTCAAATATCCTTTGAGGAATAACATTCCCTCCAGTTGACAATTACTGAACTAGGGATAATTTCAAAAAAGTCACATGATTCCTATGCTCTCAGTAGCCAGGGACACTAACTGGTTGGGATACTTTTGCCATCTATGGTATAAGACAGGATCTGCAAAAGATTGCCGAAATGCAAAATTTCTGGAACATCAATCTTTCCTTTACCCTTTTCTCTCATACAAGGAACAAGGAACTAAACATCTTTTACTATGTGGTTGTCAGCATCCAAACAGTCCTCACAACAGTGACACTGGTGAGAGGGATCACCTTATATCTGAGAGTGTTGAGCTTCTGGTCTAGTGGGCAGAGACTTCTAAATATGGCTATAGAGGCTGTATCTTGCCCAAGGGTTTCTAGCTGGTGCTGCAGATGAGGACTGAAGTACAACCCATGCTTCAAAGAGAAAGTGTGATACCTGGTGTTTTAGTCAGCTTTTCCACTACTAGACCAAAAGACTCAAGAAGGACAATTTTAGATGAGGAAAAGTTTATTTGGTGCTTACAGTTTCAGAGATATCAGTCCATAGACAGCTGATTCCATTCCTTATGACACCAGAGAGGCAGCACATCATGGAAGAAGGGTGTGACAGAGAAAAACAGCTCAGGATGTCATATCAGGTAGCAGAGAGATCACTTCACTCATAGAGAACAAAATATGTAGCCCAAAGTCACACCTGCCTACAGTTACCACAAAGCTGAACCCTATCATAGGATTAATGCACTTAATAGGTTAAGGCCTTTAAAACATAATCATTTCACCTCAGTGCTTTCTTGCACTGTCTCACACAAGATCTTTGGGGTGACACCTAATAATTAAAACATAACACGTGGCACAGTGCTACTTCCCTTAAGATGGAACAATTTCTCCAATTTGCTTAAAGTCACCATTTGGATGAATAGAACCTCTGGGACATAGTCAAAGGATGAGAAAAGAGAAAGAGGGAGCCAACAGTACCTCACTCTGGCATGAATAGCACCATGCATCCAATGATTTCTTTGTCAAAGTCAACTCCAGGTACAGCTACCCTATGTATGAGTTATCTGCTGGGCATTAGGATTCCTGCAGCAAGACCATATTGGGTGAATTGATGGGGTAAAGGGAAGCTGGACAAAAGGGATCTGGTGTAAAGCACAATTGTGAGAAATGGATACCCTGCCCCAAATTGGAGTTTGAGATGAAACTCAGTTCTCTGCTTCTGTTGGTGGGTAGAGTCTATAAACTGCAGCCCTCTATAAATGGGAAGGCTTGTTTCAGTGTTAGCAGCTAATCACAGTAAGGAATGACTACTGGGGATCAGCTCTGAGGGTTGCAGTCAGCAAAACCCGATTCTTTTCCACTGCCCTTGAGTGGTGTGTTGCAGCTCTCAGTGTGGCAGTTCTATCTAAATGGTGGGCCATGCCTCCAGTGTTGCAATAGCCCCCAGCAGCTCACAGCCAACTTCTTTCCTGATTCTTATCTCACATATACAAAGAATAAAATTCACAGGGAAATTTGGAACACAAGAGTAAAAAAAGGAGTAAGATTTATTCAATTGTGAAGAATAGAAACAGAAAAAGTGCAGGGACAAGAGGGGACCCATAGCAGGTTACCCTGAGTACACTAGTCTAAGGGTTAATATAGCACTTAGCTCAACCCTATTGGTCCAAATTTATGCTAATCAAGATTTGGAAAAGCACTAACACTATTGGTTAACCTTGAGCCTGAACTTCCATTCAGATCTGCCCCATTTTGTTTTTCTTGCTCTTGGTTGGGAAGCAGGAAGTTGAGGTCACTGGATTGTGAATGCTCAGGGGTTCTGGCTGTGGTGCTGTGTGGAGTGGGCATCCATACCAGGCTAGGCTGGGTAGACACAGGTTGATAAGTCAGCGCACCCTGCCTTGCCTACTCCTTGGTTTGCAGTGCCTTAGGCTGGTCATGGCATTGTAGGCTCAGGCTCCATGCGGCCAAGGCCTATGCTGCAACCCAACTGGGGCCACCACTCCACAGCTCTTCTACCACTTCACCCCCATTAGAACTACTTGAAGAACTAACAAATATTAGACAAAGATAAATCAATAGTAGACAAAAATGGATAGAAACCTCAGCATTAGTCGACTCAATATACATAGTCTGATAAGGAAATACCTTCTATCCCTTCTCTACCCTAACACTAAAATTTATATGCACAGGAAATAAAGAGAGGAGTGAGTGTGAGAAGATTGTTCCACCCCAAGACACTAGAACCACATGTCCACTTGTGCTCAGGTCAGAAAGCATTTTGAGTTAAATATGATAGGAATTTTTAAATAGACATGACTACATTTCAAAATTAAGATAAGACTATTTTAATAGCTAACTTTAACTGAACATGTTACTGAGAATAAGATGCCATTGGAAAGCCTGCTACTCTGAAGAAAATGAAATTTTGAGAACATTGTTCTTAACAATTTTGGAGACAGCAAAACTATTTCCTATTTGTATCTAATGAGGTGAGTCACTGAGACCAACTATTTACACCAGTAAATTAATTTTTAAACACATATGCATTTATTTTTCTCTAAGCAATTGACTTTTCTATTCTCACTTTTATCCCCAAGGACAATTGGTCAAAATTATCAAATTAGGTACAGGCCTTTTATTTGTCCCTATAAAATTATAAGTTCCCTCCAGAGACTTAAAATTGTCAGTATTTTCTATTATTTGAGAATTTGGAAGGTTGGGGATGGTAATATTTTATTACTAGGATAAGGTAACCAACTCTTTGAAAAAATAATTATGGAAATTAAAGTTGTATTCTAGCTTAACTTAGGGATAATAACGATTAAAATTTTCTTAAAAATCACCTTCATGTATCGGCAGGTCTATGTGTTTTGTTAAGTGCTATCGGTAGAAACCCAGGTGTTGTTGCTCATGGTCAATCAAGCCAGATTTAAAAACTTCTTTCCAGCTTTTATAGTTCACAAGAAAATATGAGCTCCCATTAGACACATATTTCCTCTTCCTTAATGAGTCACAACCTCTGCAACCACCTGACAGAGAAGCTTGTTTCCCACAGAACTCCAACCACCCTCTAGTAACTCTAACCACCATTTCTGATAAGGAAATACCTTCTCCTATCCCTTCTCTACCCTAACAGTATGCAAGGCTTCTCATTCAATTCACCCTGCTCTCCCTACTTACCATCAAAGGTGCTAGTGAAACAGCAGAAAAGTCATCCCTAATTTCAGGAAAAGTCTTGGCATCATCTTAAAAATGTAAAGAGAGATTAGAAGCAAGAATATCTGTATGTCTTTTGCCTCTCAGCCTGCCTATTTACTTGTTTGTGAAGGACTAGAGACAAAGGTATTCAGTACTCTAAATAGAAAAAAAAAAAAAAGATAAGTTTAGAAGTTCAATCAAAGCCATTAGATTATGAACAAAACAGTAGTTTCTGACTCAGCCCCCAGAAGCACAGGTCTGTAAATGTCTCCCTCTTCATCCAGGGCTCCCAAATGTCCATTTTCTTTTTTTTCAGCAAAAATTTGCCAAATCTATCCGCTCATTTATTCTTATCTAGGAGAAGCAGATTCTACTAATTGCCCATGCAATGTTCCTTCTTTCTTCCTTAGAAAGAGAATTCCAATTTTGTTTGGATTTACTAGAAGCTTAGCTAAAGGCTGTAGTTTCCAAAGTCTCTTGTGCTCAGCATGAGCATGCGACTAAGTTCTGACCAATGAGATCATAATTTGGGGGGTGAGACTTTCAGAAAAAAAGTATTTGAAAAGCTGATAGCTACTTCCTCCTTCCTGTTCCCGTAAAGTTTCACTAGCAATTTGGGATATCAGCAACTTTGAGAATAGAAGATGGTGTTAAGGGTGAAAGGTCAGACAGAGTAAAAGCCTGGAGGTCTGAAAAGTGCAGAATCATTTCAATTCACAACTTCTAACACAAGCATTATTACCAGTTTTCTGTTGCATGCAGCTGAAGCTAATCAGAACTGATACCAAAACAACAGCAGGCAACAAAGTCATGGATAACTATAACTTACAGTTAAAACATAACTACTACTTTTCAAAGGTGTCCAGAGCAATAAGATGAGACCATGGATGTGTCATATTTTGAAAAGTGTAAGGAGACATGACTGCTAATATAATGTAACATCCATATTGGATGTTGGAAGAGAAGAGCATTTGTAGCCAAACTGGTGAAATTCAAATAAAACTGTAATTAATATGTTGTTCCAATACTAATGTCTTAGTTTTGAGAAATGTACTTTAGTTATAAGATGCTAACACTAGAGAAGTTAGGTGCAGTGTATATAGGACCTCTCTACTATCTTTGTAACTTTTGCATGAGTTTAAAATTATTCAAAACTAAAAAGGTTTTAAAACTATACAATTATATTAATTCTCAATTATAAAATACAAATTAGCAGATTAATAGTTCAAACACAGATAAGAAAAATAATGACAGTGTTGGGAAGGAGAGCAAACAAGAAGTGAACAACCCTTGTTCAAAAGTTTAAGGGTTAGTTTGCATCTTGTACAACCAGAGAAATAAGAAATTGTGCTCCATTTGTGAACAATGAGTCAAAAACGCATTCTGCTGTTATGTAACTAATTAGAACAATTTTTTTTTTTAATTAAAAGGTTAGAATGAAGACTCTCCCTCTATAGTCTCCTCCTCTGTGGTTTGCCATCTCCCTGGTCCAGTCACAAGATTTGTTTCCTCTTCTCCAGAACCAAAGAGAACTCCAGCTCCTTGATTTAATTTGCTTCCATATGTGTCTCTTTTCACTATATTGTAAACTTTTTAAGGAAAGGATAATTAGGTATTCATTTTAGCATGCACAGGTCTAACTCTTATTCTGACCCATAATCAGTATTTAATTTATGATTATTGAAAATTAAGTGGAAAGATTGCTTAGGGTTTTTTTATTAGATGAGGGAAAGTAGTGAAAAAGAAAATTCATATGTTCACAGGATTCTGACTTTCTTCCGTTCTTTATCCAGCCTAAACCCTCTGATCCTATCATTTCTCAGCCTCTCAATAGCAGATCTCCTTTCAGTATTTTTTCCCTTACAAAATCTCTACTCTGGACAAATCTAAGAATTTAATTTCTTCACTTCTTATCCATGTTATTAAGCACTAGTCACACTATAATTCTATGATAATAAGTGATATATGATCTCAGCCTCTGGAAGCAGGGTTCTTCTTCCAGTGGTAGCCAAAATAGGTATGTTATTAACTCACTGCATTCCAACTCTAGTCTAGTGGTCTAGCCTGGTAGATTTACTGGATGCTGTTGCCTGAATTGCTTTTACACCTCATCTTTATCTATTCTTCTTGACCTTGGCAATGAGAAGCTTTGCTCCAAATACTTCATCTCAGTTAAATGTCTTGCCTCTGTGTTCACGTGACTGTGAATACATCTATCATAACACTTCCTTTGCTGTTCTGCAATCAAGGATTTACATTTCTGACTCCCATAACAGAATGTAAAACCCACAAAGGCAATGATCGTGTATTGATAATGCCTACACATAGTACACATATATACTCAATAAAAATTGTAAAAGAATGGAAGGATAAAACAAAGAAATGGTGGAAGAAAGGGAGGGAAGAAGAGAAGAAAATAAGAAATTATAAAAGCAGCTGGAAAATTTCTCAGAAGTCATGCTTGGGCATATTTTTCAACCTGTCCCAAACACTATTCCATTCCTTTCAATTGTCTGCCAACCCTCCTTTTTATACACGCTCTTCCTGTCACATCATCATTGCTTTAGTCCCAGTTTCTCCTCTAATGTTCTCCAAAGCACTACTTGCTGAAGGATGTTTATATGGATTAAATATACAAAATCATGAAACCTAGAAGCCTCATCTCTCTTTCTAGCATGCATGTGTATGACTACAGCATCAGACACCATTTTCATTTGACTCTTAGTTTGCCTCTTCCTGTCATTCTCTACCAATCTGTTACTAATTATCTGGGACTGAGCAAGAGGTTAATTCAGGTGCCATTTCATTGCTATACCTAAAATAATCTCTCCACATTGTCCCCAACTAAATTCCAAAACTTAAATAACTTAATTCTTTTCTGTCAGTGGAGACTCAACACAGCTAGAGATATTAAGATAAGGCTCTCACTATTTAATCACCAAGGGTGTCAGTATAGTGTCTGTGGAGGTAACAACTTTCAGACTCTAATGTATCAATGGAGGTAACAACTTTCACACAGTCTTCCAAGACCCACTCGCAGATAGAACTTCTGATAAATAGGTCATGAGCTCTTTCCACAAGCTAGACCATAATTTTTTTCAAGGAAGTCCCCTGCTCTCATGCCCTGGATCTATTAAAAACCTGGGAAGAGGTTTAGGTTAGAAAACACTTTTATAAAGGTCTCCTTGGTGAAGAGGTACTTTAAAATTTCATGTCGGAATAAAGGTAAAGGTTAAAAGCCTTCAAAATGCTGTAGCTACAACTCTCCACAGAGTATGCAGCAGTTGTTGCCTTATTTATGTGAAGCAGACACACAAACAAGTTCATTTTGACTCAAACTCAGCATGTACTTTGCATTTCCCTTTAGAAAAAAAATCATTAATAGAAACAACATAGTCTAGTGACAAGATAATTACTTTTGTGGTTGTTCCATCAATAGTTGTCTTGCCGTGGAAAATTTAGCTTTAATCACAAATTAAACTTCTGTTTGTTATGCTATTACTCATAACTCTTTATTTCCTCCAGGTTGAACTTGAGATGATGACAGACAGTCGACTGAAGATGTCCTGTAAATAATTAAAATAAAAACTTAGAACATAGTTAAAAGGTCACAACCAGAGAAATGGACTTGGAAGTCATTCATAGCAGTGATAATTGAGCAAAAGCATTGATTACAGAGAATTAGAAAGCAACATCTTGAAAAACATTCTCCATTGATAGATAAAAATTTAATGAAAATCTAGAAAAACAGAAATTCACCATAAGGAGGAATTTTGGAAATGGGGCAGTACTCTGTCATTGAGACCCTTCTTTTTCCTCATATCCTCAGTGACTGGCATAGTAAGTTTCTGTAAATATTATATATTCACACATGTGTGTGAAGAGGGTGGGGTACCTTCTCTATAAATATTTGACAACTGAATGAGCAACAGAATGTTAAAAACCATATTTCAGCTGAAGCACATTCCAACTTTATGAGCTAACAATAACAATTATGTTAAAAATTATAATATTCAAACGCAACAAAAGTTTACTACTTCCTCATGTAAAATCCAAGATGTATATTTCTGATTAATTTTTCTCTGCTAGTTTTTGGTTCATCTCATAGTCCAGCCACACAATACCTGACTTCCAAAATGGTAGAACCCCTGCTTGTGCTCATTAGCTTCAAACTATCAAAATGGTAATGCAGAATTATTCTTCTTGATGTGCTATTGGTGAGACCCAGTATCTTGTACCTACATAAATGCAAGAGGAGCTGGAAACAGAGACAATGGCTAGGTATTTCTGTCAGACAACTGCAGTTTAAGGAAGAGCTTAACTTTCTTGGGTAGATAATTAACTCTGAAATGAATTGGGATTTGTTTTTTATTGTGTTTGTAGTCATGATTAAAATAATCACATTGGTTTAAGTGTCTTCAGAAGAAATGAAAGAACAGATAACACAGATTCAAATGAAGAATAAAATAAGAACACATTCTGGGACAAGCCATACAAGTTTAATGGTATAATATTAAACATTTCCTTTGTTTGCTCTTGTATAGGTAGTTGAATAAAACTTTTCTCCATTTCTTAATGCTGATACTACCAAAAAAATGAAATAAACTGCTCAAATTTTAGAGTAGAATTAACACTTTCAGTTCATATGGCTATTAAACTACTAAAAGTGGTTATTTTCTCTTGCAATTGGAC